AAAGTGATCATCACCTTCTGCCTTGAACTTGACTGGCCCAGCAGATCTCCTAAGAAGGTACTGTTTTGAGTGGACCTTGTTTTGAGTGGACCTTGCTCTCCGGATTGTAGTGACAAATCCAAGCTATGTCTCCATTCCATTCATGATTCATTCCATTAAAATGTCTTAATTAGACTGATGGAAAGATCAGCTCTTTAAAATAGCGGATGGGACCCAAAGCTGTGGAAGCCAAGCTGTTCACTTAACATTGGAAATGCTCAACCACGAGACCCCCAACTTCAGTAGCTATTGTCCCAATAGTAATTTCGTGGCCTTCCACCAGTTTCTAGACTTCAGCAACAGCTTCTTCATTTGTCAAGGTCAATGGGCCGCCCTTGGCTCATCTTTGAGATTTTCCTGCCCTTTCTTAAAACTCACAATTCATCTTGAAAGCGTTCTTTTATGTGGGGCAGCATTCCTGTAAATTTGTTGCAAAGTTTCAATGCTATAGGAAGATAGCAACGGAATTTTGTTAGAAATTTGATGTTAGCCCTGACCTCAAAACTCTTTTGCCCATAGCACAAAAAGTATCCTTTTTAAGAAGACTCAACAAGACTAAGACAAGTACATTACTGAGAGGACCTGTCAGCATCCAGCCTCTGCTCCTAGAAGGTTAAACACATTTTCTTTAGAATAAACCTGTGCATGTACGAACTGGAACCATGCTCACAATCATTTTACTAACTTTCATATATAAAAAATAATACCCCTGAGGCTAAGTAAGGTGTGTTTTGGGGGCAATATACACTATTTGTTCCATTTTTTCTCTTCCATCATTTGCTACTACATGCTAGATTAGATGCTAATAATACCATAATAAGAAATGCTTCCAATAAGAAAAACCTGGTGATTTCTGAAAACTGAACAAGAATGTTTTCAGGCCATTTTAGAAGCTTCATTGCTAGAACATCAGTGGGCACGAGATTTGAGAATCTCTAGGGAAGTCAAGGAGTCCTGGTGGCTCAGTGGTTAAGCATTCAGCGGCTAACCCTCAAGGTCGGCAGTTTGAACTTACCAGCTGCTCCCAGGACAGAGATGTGGCAATCTGTTTTTATAAAGATTGACAGCCTCAGAAACGACGTGGGTCACTTCTACTGTCCTATGGGATCGCTTTGAGACAGAATTGACTTGATGGCAGCATATTTAGAGGGGGAGAAGTGCTTGAGAGCTCAAGTTCAGGAGTAGGCTAGATCTGGTTAGAATCTAGTGCTGCCAGCTGTGACACTTTAGAGACATGTCTGAGGTCTGAAGAAAACCGATCTAGGGCTCTAAAGCAGAAAGCCAGGGACAGAACTTCTGCAGCAGTCACTCATGAGCTGTGTAACGTGAGCAAATTCTCTGTGCTTGTTTATTCCAGCTGCAATGCATGTAGGGAACTGTGGCGAAGTGACATGTCTTAAACTGGCTCTGCTACCCATAATCCCTTTTGTCATGGATTCTAAAGTGAAGTCTCTATGCTTGTGGTTATAATCCCACTTTGGAGGGGCGCTCTGTTATGCTGATAGATTGGATTAAAGTGGGATCTATTCTGAGCCTCTGTTTTACTAAAGGGTATGCCCTAACCCTAACCCTTGGGGTTATGGTCTGCTGAAAGACTTCATGTTCACCAAAATCATTCCTCTGGATCTGAGAAGAGAGAGAGAATTCCCAGGTCGGTTAAGGGGAAAAAAGCCACCAGCACAGCAAGCTGGAAATCCTTGCCTGAAGAGGTGGAGGCAGCAGGGGCCATGCCATGCCCAGACTAGAGGCTGAGGCCAGTATTCATGAGACAGAGAGCAGGAGCAGTGCCTAGACTAGAAGACTGTGAGGCAGAGCTGCGGGTAGGCTTCCTGGTCCACGGGGCAGAGGCCAAGGGACTACATTACATGGCTGGGAAACAGGACCAAAAAGGGAGTACTTGGCTGCTGGCTGGAGAGAGATGTTGCTGTATCCTTACTGTTCAATGATCTTGGCTTATGTTAATCTGTTACCTTCCCTAATAAACTCTGATAATTTTTAGTATTGGCTGTGAGTTCTGTGTGGCCTCTGTAACCGTTAGGTAAGAAGTTGGATTTTCCTTCCCCTTGTGTGGCCAGAGGTCAGTTATGGCCTCTGCAGGTTCAAAAGACCCAGGTTGTTAAAGACACAAAATGTTAGATCACAAAACAGAGAACAACTACACCTCATACATGCCAAATCACCGAGAACCCTGGCCAGCCAAGATGGGCCAGGATTTAATTCAATTTATCACAGCCAGTGTTGTTCTTGCCTCACACTCTGGTGTTCTTTACTACCAGACAGATGCTATTATGCAAAATAGGTGGAGTAAAAAAAAAAAAAAAGACTTGCCAAAAAATGTGAAATGTAGGTTATCACTGAGTTGTAGCTGTGATGCAGAGCATATAATACTGCAAAATGTTAGCTAATTATTGAAGTTCCCAGTGTAATGCCTAGCACCCAGTAGCACTCAAAATTGTTAGCTATTTCTAATAGTAAGTATTCAGATGGGCTACAAGGGTCAAGACGCAAGAATTTCAGTAAGAGTGGGCTCATTAATAGGACCATTTACATAGTGAAGAGGTATGTCTCCATATTTGAAGCCAGAATGGGGAAGGGTAGCTCTGGAAGACCTACAGAGTTCATAGATGTAGAATCAGAATATACAAGGGAGGGGACTTCAACAAGTTCATGGAAAAATAGAATTAAAAGACAGCATAAATTTGTTGCAGCCCCCTCAGAAGAGCCTTTATTAAGAAGGTATGAAGAAATTTAAGGAGCAGGTCCTAGGATGATAGGTCTTAAAAATGGTACTCCCATGTTAAGGAAGGTGAGGAATGAGAAAATGGGACAATACCCAAGAAAAGGTCTCCAAAGGAGAGTGGGGCGACTGAAATAAGGCTTTGTAATAAGAAGGGCAGGCTTTGTAAATAAGAAGCTATAGAATAAAAATCCTATACTTGAAAAGCCAGGGTGTATTTAATGCTATTTGTATTTCATTGTACTTCACTAGTTATTCATAAAATACAGAGGAAATATCCATCCTGTCTAAGCTATACTTAAAATGAACTAACTGAAAACTGTGGGTCCATGGACCACAGCCCAAAAGGCTGGTGGTAGGCATTTCAACAGGTGTACCCCAGAACTGACGGAAGCCAGTAGGGCTCCTCAGTACAGACACCTACTCTCACTTACTGACCAGGAGGATTGGGGTTTGTTTCACTACAAGAGGCTGCAGTTTCTTGGCTGATTTCCAGGTGGAGCCCAAGCTAACAGGCCCTGCTCCCCATCCCTTCTCTTATTCAGAAGATAGAGCTCAGAGGAGGGGAGTAGGAACCCAGGCCTGTGAGACAGAACAAGGGTGACTGGGCAGGTTTTGTGCAGATAGCAGAGGCCCTAAAGGGTCTGAGCTGCTTGGTCTGAATGGCCCTTTCAAGTCTTGACAAATGGTCATAGGCAGTATTCTATGTCCTTTTCTGTTTGTTTCATTTGCACACATTTCTCATTTTAATCTCATCCCTGATAAAAGTGCTGACAGCTCTGTCCCAGCAACCCTATGCACTTTAGGTCTGGAGGTCCTAGTCCTGAAGGAAGGAACTCTCCCACCTGGAAACAAACACAGCACGGATTCCACTGAACTGGCCACTTTGGACTTCTCATGCCTTTGGATCAACAGGTCAGGAAGGGTGTTACTGTACTGAGTGGTGTGATTGATCCTGATTACCAAGGAGAAATTGGACTGGTGCTACATAATGGAGGTAACAAAGAATATGTCTAGGATGCAGGAGATCCCGTAGGCCATCTCTTAGTACTACCATGCCCTGTGATTAAAGTAAATGCTAAACTACAGCAACCCAATCCTGACAGGACGTCTAATGACCCAGACCCCTCAGGAATGAAGGTCTGGGTCACCCCACCAGGCAAAGAACCATGGCCAGCTGAGGTGCTGGCCAGGGGCAACAGTAAGACAGAATGGGTAGTAGAAGAAGGTAGTCCTACCTATCAGTTATGACCACATGATCAATTGCAAAGGCAAGGTTTGTGATTGTCAAATGTATCTTCTTTTTATGTGCTTATGGAATATCTTTCCTGTGTTCATGTATGACGTACCAGACACAATTGGATCCAGTGTGTTTTCATTTATATGTGTGATAGATGTTTGATGTTAAGTGTAAATGTGATTTCATTAATGTCTGGAAATTATATACTGCTAAAGAATTGTGTATAGATGCCAAGTTGGCAAGGGGTGGACTAATAAGGTTGCAGTTTGATTGGAGGGCAAAGAGATAAATGGCTTAGCAAGCCCCACCTCTCTCTCTCTCTCTCACTCTCGCTCTCTGGTGCCTGGACCAGTGTGTGGCTGCTAGTTCTCTGCCTCAACTTGTGAGGTACACTACCCGTAGGACTGCCAACCCGTGGATTGTTGTCACTAGAACGTGAGGTTCCTTTGAGACCTGCTTCACCATACTGCTGGTGAATACATTGCTTGAGCTTGGGACTGTAAGATCCTGTCGTCTTGCTGGCTGTTGGTGACACGTCCTGCTGTTTGCTGCCTGTGGCTGGACTGCCTGCATTGCCCTACAGACTGAGCTGTCTGCTTCCTTGACGTTGGACCCAGAGGCCCTCGTCAGTTGAAGGACTTCTAGTATATTAACTGTTCCATGGAAGTGAGGTGAACTGAGCCCTCTGTACTGCTGTGTGGACCAATCAGCTTGTTATATTCCTTTGTGCTGTATATATCTATCCTCTTATAGATATATGTCTATATAATCATAAGTGTCCTGGTTTTGTTTCTCTAGAGAACCTTGTCTAACATAAGCTCTTTAGTACATGATGTTAGATGGAGTCCGTTTGGACACCATCTGAAATTAATGGTTCCAATTTTCAGGCTATTGCACTCTGCCAACCCTGACCCCCTCCTGGGGTAGAATAGGTGCTGGGTCAAGGCCAGCCAGACCACAGTGATCATATCAGTCCACAGCACCTTCCATTTTATTGTTTTATTTACAAACAGGGTGAAATCAACTGGGGAAATCAGGGTTTGGGGGTTAGTCTGGGCCATCCACACGTGGAGTGGTTCTTGGGTCAATCTCCACCTGGAGGCCGCCTCTTCTATCCTTTCCTGCCCCTTAGTAATGGCCCCTTGATTCCTCAGGGCAGCCTCACCTGCTGCTCTTGAGCCCTTCGATAAGGGCAGATGGATCCAGGGGAACAGGGTGGCACGAGGGCTGGGGCCCCCTCAGTTTGTGTAAACCTGAGTTCCGATCACACGCATGATTTCCTTCTGTATCTTGGGGTCCTGAGTATTAATGTTGGCATCGCCCACCTGACCATCTTCATATCTGTCAAAAATAGGACAAAGGTACATATAGGAGGGAGAGCAATAGCAGAGTACCAGGGACGGGTGGGGCTGTATTTGGGTATGGGGCAACTCTGCAGGATGGAAGGGACCTGCTCTAAACAGACCCCTATCTACCCTCACAGTGCCAGCTGCACGCAGAGGCCAGGACAAATTTCAGACAACGGAAACTGACTGTCCCAGTCATCACACACCCTCATCCTCCACCCTGTCCCCTCATTCCTTAGAGTGATCCCCAGGATACCTGCCAACACTCACACAAAGAAGAACCGTGTGCAGACATGGTCGGACACAGGGCAGACCCAGATGTTCCCGTGCTTCTGGAGGTCCTTGGATGTAATCACTGAGAAGACAGGGCCCAGAAGCCAGAGATGTCACACTCAAGGCTCAGAGTCCAGGCAGGACAGGGAAGGATTGTTGTTTCAAGAGACCCCTCCTCACCCTTGGCTGGACCAACAGTAGGAGTTGGGGACCCAGAAAAGCAGGGAACTGGGAGAGCTACCTACCTTCACAAAGTGCTATACAGTTTAGATTCCGACTCTGCAGGAACCTCGACTGAATGGACCGGGTCTGGAAAAGCAAAGGAGAGCAAAGCTGAGGACACTGTCATGGCACTCCCTAGAAAGGCCAGCCATCTGATGATGAAGGGGGGTGGGGATTGGGGATACACTGAGCCCCCAGCCACCCCCACCCCCACATCTTTGCTTTCAGTCTGGATGGGCCCACAGCTTCCACCTTCACATTTTCATGTCACTGAATCTTAAATTCTATCCTTGTCTTCCTACTTACAACTCAGGTCACACATGACTCTGGAATTGCGCTCATCTGAGAACATAGCTGATTCCTTCAAACCACCCACCTTCTCCTCACTGCTTCCCCACCCATCTCTGTACGCTCCTAAACCAGGCCCAGAGGAAAGGTTTTGCCTCACAAGAGCAGGGCCAACTAATCATACCTGGGGGATGGTGTTCATCCTGTTATATCTCTGGACCAGCTCATCCTTGGAGGGCATCCTGTGCTGTCCTTTTCCCATTCCTGCCACAGAACAACAAGCCCAGCCCCTTCATCAGATCATTACCCAAGTAACCGCTATGTGCCTGGCACTGAGCGAGACACGTCAACACAGCCCTGGATGAAACAAGCCATTTGTCCTCACGGAATAGGCAGGAAAAAGTCCTTACTACACAGTATGTTAAGGGGCAGGGACCACAGTGGTGCAATGGTTAAATGCTTGGCTGTTACTAGATAGGCAATCTGTGTGAACCCACCCATGGGAGGAAAAGATGGCCGTCTGTTTTCAGGTTGTAATGGGGTACATACAGGGCACTGTGTGAGCCAGAGGAGGGGAATTGCTTTAGCCCAGGGGCCTGGAGAAGTTTCCTGGTAGCAATGGCAGCTAGACTGAGAACTAAAGGGTTACAAGGAGTCAATTGAAGGAAGAGGTATTCTGGGCGGAGGTCACAGAACGTGAAAGGCTGAGAAAAGACAGAGCATAGTACTTCAGTCAGCGTGGAGAACTCAGGGCAAAGGAGCAGTGAGAGGTGACTGGGCGGAGGTGAGCTCGGAGCAGATGAAGTAGGTCCTACAGGCCACGCTTTACGGTGCCTGGAGTTCATCCTGAAAGGAGCAAGGAAGCGTGGACAGCTCTAAGACAAGAGTGAGACATGAAATGAGGGCACTAGGAGAGTGGGACCCCAAAACCTAGGCATCAAATGCCAGAGATACAAGATATGAGGGGGAAGAAGCATGCAGAGTAAGTCTAAATTTCTCTAGGCTCAGTGTGACATAGAAAACGGACCAGTGTCATTCACAAGACAGGAAAAGCACAGAAAATGAAGAGTATGTTTCTATAGGTAACCAGAATGGCATGAATCTGATGTACTTCAGAAAGTCGTCCCTGAGTAGAGTGAGGTGTTGATTCTCTCCAGTTCCCACCTGTTCTAAAGCCACCAACCCTCCACCATCCTTATCCCCCACTCAATGGTTCAGCTTGAAATGATATAGACTTGACGTGGATTTAGGTGTAAATAGTGTCCTTGTGTCCAGCCCGGAGATAGGACTTCAGACTATGTACTCAGTTTTATCACAGGCCCAGCCTTGTCACAAAAAGGTAATAGTGATATTATTATAGGCCATAAACAGCAGTAAGCAGGGCCCTTACAGCATGACTTCATCCCAAATTCTCTGTTGTTACTAACTTGACTGCTTCAACTCCTTGCTAAGTGATAGCCGTTGTTTAGGGGCGAGGGGGTACTCACTGGACTGAGAGTCTCCACCACTCAGATGGCCAATTTATTCCACGTTCACTCTTAAGTTTCCTGTTGAATTTACGGCCTGAACACTCTTCAGAGTAGTGACAGCCTTACAGCGTGAATTGTCATATTCTCCTTCAACAGGAAAGGCACACACCAACAGTTTCCATCTTCTCTAGTAACCTTGCCGTTGGGTTGCAATCTGCAAGCCTGGCAGTTCAAAACCACCAGGTGCTCCACAGGAAAGGGGCAGTATTTTCTACTCCCGTAAATAATTACAGCCCTAGAAACTCACCAGAGCAGTTTTACCCAGTCCTATAGGGTCACTATGAGTCAGTACTGACTCCGATGGCAGTGAGGTTCAGCTCTGCATCCAAATGCCATGACCTTCTCTGCCTGGGTGTCTCAGTGAGTACAGTGCCTACTCAGGTCTATCACAGGAGAAGCAAATGAAAAGATAAGAAAGAAGACTGACTTTTATGGCTGGTCTGAGAGTTGGCCCTTAATGAAAAGGCCAATTTTATCCCATGCCTATTCTGCTGCACACTGCCCTGTCCATGCTGACCCAGTGGTCTTCAGCCAGCTTCTTGGGGGCCAGTTTGTTAAACACAGTGGCTAAAATGATCTCTGGATGCTCTCAGTCCAGAGTATGTATGTACCTATCAGAGAGAAGTAAGAACAAGGAAGTAATAGAGGGTTTACCATCTCTTTTCTCACTGGCCCTCATTTAAGCCTGTGTACACGGTGTTCAAGTCATTAGAAGTACCCCTGGGTCAAATAAATGAATGCTCACTATTTATAACACCCCCCACCCCCACCACCCCCACCATCCAAGAGGATGCCCAGTACCACTAAGCTTAAGAGTACTCCACGGAAGAAAAAGCAGAAATTGTGAGAACAAGGTGGAAAGAAACATGAAAGATGATAGGGTTAGCCAAATGGCAGAACTACAATCAACCCCACACCTACTGTTTTAGAGATGCTGATACAGCAGAGGATCCTGACACACACACATTGCAGCAAAGCCTTTCCTGCCAGTCCAAGATAGTGATAAAAACAGTGGCCTTGAAAAGATCTACCGTATATACTCATGTATAAGCCCAGCTTTCCAGCACATTTTAAATGCAGTTTTTGTGGTAAAATTAGGTGCCTCTGCTGATATTCGGGTTGGCTTATACTCGAGTATATACGTTTCCACGCCTCCTTCTGATGCTTTACAGTAGTGTGACCTGGAGCAAGTCACTAGATATTACTGTCTATCAGCTTCCTTATCCAGACCAGGGGTGGGGAACCTTTTTTTCTGCCAAGGGCCATGTAGATATTTACAACATCATGTGTGGGCCACACAAAAATATCAACTTAGAAACTAGTCTGTTCTATTTGGCCAAACATTTAATACACTCACTCCTAATGTGATGACTGCAACTGCGTCTCTTTGGTGAGGGGTGTTGTGTTGGCTGATACTGATGGTTTTGCAGGCCTTACATGGCCTGAGGGTCGGATGTTCCCAACCCTGGACTAAATGATCTAAAACTCCAATAATGAAATCTATGACATTTCTCTCTCGCATCAATAGTCCTTTGGGAGGAGAGGAAGGGCAGTGTCACATGGTATGTTTAGGACTGTTGATGACAACCAAGAAATCAAACTGTTGATAATTTATACATTATTATTGTTTTGTCATGTCTTACACTGTCCGACATCTCCCTTCACCTACTTTTCTGTTGTCTGTCCCCTAGGGTGGGGGTTATATGTAGATCCTTGTGATCGGTTCCCCCTTTCTACCCTACCTTTCCCTTACCCTCCTGGTATCGCTACTCTTATTATTGGTCCTGAGGGGTTTATCTGTTAACGGTTTTCTTCTATTGGGCTGTCTTCCTTATTGATGTTTAAAAATTCTTCAGATCTTACAACTAATATTTTGTGGTTATGTGTCACAAATGCCTTCTCCTGGAGTATAACTTGTCTTTTCACTTTCTTTAAGCTGTCTGGTTAAATATTTTTAATTTTAGTAAAGCCGAATTTACTGTTTTTTGTCATTTGTAATTCTGTCTTTTCCATTCTTTCACATATGAGGATTCCATATACAATGGGAACAGTCTTTTCTTGAAAATTAGGCTTAAGACTTACTTGTAAAACTATCTGGACTTGGGAAAATTTTAAAGTACAATATATTTGAACTATAGTTTCTTTTATACGTATAAGGCTATCATGCTGTTTCTTTTTAAGTTAGTATTGTTTAAGTCACATTTCCTAGGAATTCTTCCATTTTCTGGGCATGAAATTCTCCTATTAGTTTTAAACTTGGCTGTATCTGTAACTACATTCCCTTTCGCATTCATGATATATTTACCATAAATACTTGAATACCAGCTGACCCGAATATCAGCCAAGGCACCTAATTTTACCACAAAAACTGTATAAAAATGTGCTGAAAAACTTGGCTTATACACGAGGATATACGGTAATTGTGCCATTTTTCCATCTTAATCAATCTAACCAGGACTTATCTGTTTGGTTAATTCTTTATAAGAACTATCTTTTGGCTGCTTGGATCCTACTTATTGTTTTATTTCATTTATTTTTATTCTGACCTATACTACCTCACTTTTCTATTTTGTTTGGATTAGTCTCTTAAGAGATTTTTCTAGTTCTGTGGTTTTCTTATCTTTTATAACAGGTACAAATACTGGAGAATGCTAAAGAAGAGCCTGTAAGAAAATGAACAGTCCTGTTCATATGGTGAACATACAACCATGTGGCAGATATCTCTTATAAAGAAACTATATAGAACAAAAAGATCAGACTGAGAAGGTACTAAAACATAAAGCTGGAAGAATGAGAGAACTCTAAGTGAGATTCCTTTTCTGGGCTTTGTTGACTTACCTTTGAAATAAATGCCTTCTCTTACAGATGTACAGGAATGTGTGTGATGAGTATAACAGTCTATGGTTCAAAGCGTTTGAATTTTAAAAGGATGGTTAAGAGGAAGAAGAACCATGTCTCAAGAGACAGAACTCAATTCTTAATAATGTGAATGACTGCAATGTATGATGTGTGGATTATGTGCAAATAAAACTATGAAAGAAAAAGCCTTCAGGTGCACTCACATAAATTCACAGGCAATGAATGTGAGTAGACACACAATCACAATGGGCAGCTGTCAATGTAAACTATGTGAGCTGCAAAAAAGGTCTAGTTTCACATCCCAGCTCCTCTCTAACACAATTCCAGGGTTACGCCCATACAGTGAATAAAATCACCCGCAAAGAAGACTGTCTAATGGAGAGGGAAAGAACTTGCCTCATCTTGTGGGAAATCCAAATTTCGAATAAGTAGAGACAATTGGACAGACAGACAGACAATGTGCCCATGACTGAGAAGAGAGCTGACATGAACCAAATATCCATGAGATGGGAGAGGAGTACACAGCACAGATCATGTGTTCACAAAATGGAAGCAATGTAAATAAAGTCAAAGTGGCCAGAGAACATTTCTTACCTGAGTATCCAAAGGAAATACTGGAGATGGGGCTCAGGTAGATGCCTTTGCCATAGGCTGCTCCATGCAGCTTGCAGGGAAACACCAGGATGAGCAATATGAGCCTGAGCCACCCCATGGCTGGATATTAGGCAGCCAAAGGGTTATCCAGCCCTCTGCCTACCTGCTGACTTACTCAGATACTCTAGGCACCTACTCTGGGGAAGCTGACTGGGCAGGAAGGGGACACAGCTGAAGACCCTGCTTATGAAGTACTAGGTCCTGATGTTTTGGAGAGTGGGGAATTGCAAAGCCATCGATCGAGTTAGTGCCTCAGAGCCCATGATCCTATCTCCAGGCCTTGGAATATCCGCAGATTCGAAAAGAGAGGAATTCTACGCTATCTAGGGATGTGGTGGCAATAACAGTCTCTCAGAGCAAAGCAGCAATATCAGTCTTCTGATAGTCTCCAATATCAACTCTCTACGCAACTAGAAAGCTCTGTCAGTTAACAATCCAGCACAGTGAATGCAACCAGCATTCCATATTCCTGACTATTGCTACACTCCCCAGTCCCCAAACCACCAAAAACACAATTCGGTCAAACAGACAACAGCCACAGTTCCATCTATACAGTTCCAACCTCCTCTCTAAGAAAGCCCCCAAGGTAGGCTAGGTTTGAGAATGGCAACGCAAAAATAACTTCAGTAGTCTAGAGCGGCCTACCCACAAAACGGGTGGGGGTGGGGAGAGGGGGGACGATATGGGGTGGGGAAGGGCCTAGGCAGGACCCAGTCTCACCTGCAGTTTGGTGTAGGATGCATTGACCAGCCCATTGCGCAGGATCGAATGCCAGTTCTCAATGTGGGACCCACTGTAAGGCAGGGGAGAATACATGTCTCCTCACGGTCCCCAGGAGCAGCTTCCAAGACTGCCATTCCCACCCATTCTCACCCACACAGGACACGAAGATGGACACAGAGACACCTAGCGATGGACATGCACATGGACATAGTCACAGACATGCAAATTATGTGTGGTTAGCGCCCCCGCCCCATGCAGATTCAGATCCTCTCCTGTGCTTCACTTAGCCCCGCCCAAAATCCTCACCTGCTTGCTGGGTTAGTCTTCCCATCTGCCTGTCCTGCCCACACCTCAAAACCTAACAGACTTACTACGGATCCCATCCTGCATTCTAGCCCTGCCTTCATGGTCTGCCTTAATAAATGAGTAGCATCGCTGCAAGCCGCCCATAACAACCTTTCCCCTCTATGTCCTCACCAACAATGAAGCCTAAACGACTGGTCTTTCATCCAAGTGGCTTTTGAATCTTTCCTTCCCAATCTTTTTCTTCAGTCACAGATTTTTAATGAAAATACCATCTCTCATCAACTCTATAATAAATAGTCTGAGAGTAAAAATAACCCACTGTCATCAAGCCTGTCCCAACTCATAGCAACCCTATAGGACAGGATAAAATTGCCCTTATGGGTTTCCAAGACTAATTTTTGTGGGAGTAGAAAGCCTTCTTTCTCCTCAAGAGATTCAAGCCCCTCTTCTTTGTACTTCTATCTACTACAGCACCTACCATAATAACAGTTAATAAATATCTGCTGAGTGGTTGACAGAGGTAATGAATACATACGCTTCAAGGGCCCCTGGTTCCCTCAGCCCCACACACTGCCTGCCACCCCCCACCCCCCACCTGCCCCATCTCCACTCGGCTCACTGGAAGGCAAAGGTGCTGCCATAGAGCTTCTTGGCGGTCCGGAACCGAGCCTCCTTGGCAGGAGGGCTGCTCAGCAGGAGGAATTGGTGTGAGGTGTGCATGAACTTCAGCTGCTGCCCAGGGTGGGGTGGGGTCAGGAAAACAGAAAAGAAAGAGAGATCAGGGAGGGAAGGGTTGGGGACTTGTACTAGCCCCAGATAAAGATAAGAAGCTTAGACCCACAGGCTGAGGTTGGTGGCCAGAGCCCATTAGGCAGGCCCAGCAGCATGGTGGCGAGCTGGTTTGTAGCGCCCCCTCCCTAGCTCCACCTGAAACTTCAAGGATGGTTACTTACCCTGCTGAGAGGTAGTTTGACAATGTGTGACCTGTTACTGGAGATGATCCTGGGAAGAAACCGAAAAAAGGAAAGCACAGAGTAAGTGTGTGGGGTGGCCATCCTAAACACCGCCCCCCCCCCCTAGCTCCACCTGAAACTTCAA